GGGCTGCGAGGGAGAGGGGACAGGAGCTGGCGTCTAACAGGGACAGTTTCTGCTTGGAACGATGAAGGTGCCTGGAGGGGGACAGTGGGGATGGCCAAGCCGCAGTGTGGACACACTGGATGCACTGAGCTTCGGACCTACCGAGGGACGTGGTGAACCTCACCTTCCTGTACCTCACACCGCAGTGAATCATGTAACTCACATCACGTACCTTTTACTCCACAGACAGAAGGATAAAACACGACACCGTCTACTTACGATGTCATTTAATACGTGTAAACACAGAAGACCCAGACGGAGGACGCCTCTGCACATGGCCCTGTTCTCCCGCAAGCCCTTCAGGGCACGGCAAGCCCAGGCCGGCCTCAGCCCCAGGCCCTGCCCATGGGAACCTCACCATCTGCAGCCCTCAAACCCGGGAGCTCAGAGTCGGGAAAGTCAGGGCCCTGGTGTGGAGTGGACAGTCCTCAGCTTCAGACTGCGCCCCTAACGGCTGTCAGCTCTGACGGGCAGCTCACCTCCCTCATGGGGCGGTCACAAGGTCTCTGTGAAGAGCCGGGAGGCGGAGAGTGCCCTGACCCTCCAGCCAGAAGCCTAAGAAGAGGCCCTGGCCAGACGAGGGAAGGAGCCTGTGCATCAAGGCAGAGGGAGCAGGCGGGGTAGGGACCGCCCGGGTCCTTGCTGATGTCCCTCCTCTGGCCCCGCAACGGCTCCCACCATCCACAAGATGAAGCACTCCTTACCTTCACACTGCACGGCGGTTTCTCCCCCTTCTCAACTCGCCCTCCACTCCACCGGCCCCAGCCTGGGCCTCTGTCCACGTCTCCACCCCAGCAGTTGGAGGACGCTAATGGAGGCTGCTAGTGGAGGCTGAGGTGCCAGCATAATATAAATTATAGATTATGTGAATGTAATTCATAGTCCAAGGACATTACGGAGTCAGAAGGGAGGTCCCGACCACCTTGGGGAGGAGCCCTCAAGCTGTCTGCTACCCCTGCTGCCCCTGCTGCCCCTGCTGCCCCCGCTGCCCTCGCTGCCCCTGCTGCTTCTGCAGGTGCAAGAGCCAGGCCCTGGGGAGGTGGCATGGGCAGCCATGGCCAGGACAGGACGGAGGTTCCGGGAAGCTGGCGACAGGCCCAGCCTCTGAGCCAAGCACCCTTGTGTGCACGCGCCCAGGGGAAGGGAAGTGGGGTGTGCAGGAGACTTCCTCCTGCCCCGGCAGGCCCACGGCCCCCCAGGGCCCTCCGGAGCCTCCCTGGGGAAGGAAGGAAGGGCTCAACGGTGTGCCCAGCCCCTCAGAGCCACGTCAGGAGGGTCAGAGGCAGGACACGGGCCACCTCCACCCAGCCCACCGGGGGCCCAGCTCCACAGACAGAAGTGGGCTGGCAGGGGCCCAGGCGGGGCATCTCTTCAGGTCCTGGGACTGGTAAGAAAGAGTGCAGACCCTCCCTGCCTGGCCACCAGGCCTGCTCTGCCCGTGGGTCCTGCCCGTCACCACGTCATCACCAGAGACCAGGGGGCCTAGGAGCCACACTGATGGTGGGACACGGGAGGTGCCCACGCACACGCAGCCTAACAGAACCCAGAGCCAGCAGAGCCTGCGCAAGGGCCCGGACCCAGCCTCAGCCCAAGGTGGTCCCCTGCCACTGAGGGGCCAGCTTTGTGGGGACAGTTCTGGTTGCCTGATTCGTTCTGACTTGGCTTTCTGTTTTGTGGCCTTTCGTGTTTCATTTATACTTTTTTTGGCAGCAAAATCGTGTTCAAAAAACAAGGATTCTAGGGCCACCACAGGTAGTAGGTGCCTGTGATCCCAGGGACCTAGGAGGCTGAGACAGGAGGATCACAAGTTTGAGATCAGCCTGGGCAACCCAGTAAGACCTTCAGCAACTTAGCCAGACGTGCCTCAAAATAAAAAATAAAAAGGTCGGGGTGTGGCTCAGTGGTCGGGCACCAGTTGGGGTGGGGGATGGGACAGCAAGAGACACATTCCATGCATCTAGGTGTGGGGGACAGTTCATGATTAAGGCCAAGGGTCACTGCCATTTCGCCACCCCGGGGTGCACTGCTTCAGCTGAAGAGCCCCAGCCAACAGCCTTTTTCTTTTTAACTTCCAGTGCTGCGGATCAGACCCAGGCCTGGCTCACACTGGGCAATCACTGGTCCACTGAGCTCCCCCACCTCCATCGCCCTCCTCCTGCCTCAGCCTTCAAAGGGGCGGGGATTCCGGGTGTGGGCCTCAGGGAAGCAGGACCCAGACGCTGCTCCTTGCGCCTCCACGGTGGTGACTGGGGAGAAGGTTTTGGGCTGGTTTTCAGGAGATGGAGAATATACTCAGGACGGAAAGGCTGGGCGGAGAGTGCTCTGGGTGGGTTGGAGAAGCACACAGTGCCACGCAGCCTCGTGTCCCTCCAACGGCCCCAGGGTGGCCTGGCTCCAGGGCTGCGGTCCCCAGGCAGGTTTCCTTTCTTGGTTCCTTGTCAGATACCATGTGGAGAGTGGTGACAGTGACTGGGAGACCAGTGTCTGAGATTGGAGTCCCTGATGACTTCACGGCTGTGGCATCCTTGGTGACTGGGAAAGTTTCTGTGCCTAGGCATAGGATTCCTGGTTGCTATGGAGATGTCCTCCATGCTAGAGTCTTATCAGCCTGGACCTTATTCTCAGGCAGGGCAGCTCCTGGGAATGAAGAAACTTCCTTGCTAAGACAGCCACAATATTTCACCAGTTCTGCTGCTCCTGAATCTGCCCCGAATTAGTAGATTTAAACAATGCACTTTCTTGAGAGCTGCACAATGCTCCTAACATTGCAGGTTGCAACTGTACAATGTAACTGAGGAAATAGCTGCATACTGTTGCTAACTCTGTAACTTTCATGAATACAAAGAATAATGCTTGCACAATCTTTAATCTGATTTAGAGACATATACAATAAAGACTGCTGGAGTGATTCCTTAGACCTGCTTCTCCATCAGAGAGCAGCTTTCCTATCTTCAAGATCTGCGTGTGTTGACTTTACTTCTCCCAATCTCCCATCGCCCCTCACAGGAACCTGTTAGTTTGGCAGCGCTGGTCACAGCAGTACCAGCCTAGGTGCGAGGCCCAGGCGGCTTGTCCTGTGTCCCTGAGCTGGAGACCAAGGTCACATTCTATCTTGCTGGTGGGCATGTAGAATGTGAAACATGTGGTCACCGCCTGACCTGCCCCCCCCCAAGTACCTACAGATTGAATTTTGGATTCTCCCTTTCAGTGTTGTTTTTGATCAGTATCCGCAGATGAAGACTGATGGAGCCTACTAGTATTTCTGTTAAACCAGACTGGTGCTATTGGACGAGTTGCACATTTCTTGTTCAGTTTATTCCTACATGTTTAATCCTCTGTCAATATAGCAAACTGCAGCTTTTAACTAGCTGACTCTTTGCTGTGCAGGAGGGAAAGAAGTTGTGTGTCCTTGGGTTTTGGTTTGTTTTTTCTCTCATTTTGCAAAATCCTAAATTTATCTTTTTTTTTAACCTTTCACCCCACAGTATCCAAAAGGTGCCTTTCTATGTGATATGGAGACCTCTGGATTTCATGGTGTGTCACAGACTGGAAATCACCTGTCACCTGACCAGCTCCCAGGTCCCAGGCTCTGGGGTACCAGGTCACTCTCAGGTAAGGTCTGCGTTGCCTTCGGAAGCCTGCCCCACATCCCCAGCATCATTTCCACAGCAATCTGTCCAGTGCTAGCCACCTCACCTCTCAGCAGCGCCTTCCACCTGTCCCTCATCCCCACTGACCACAGGTGATACGAGGGCAGGCCCTGCCACAGCAAGCTGGCCCTCAGCCCCAGGGCATCTGCCTAGCATCCCCAGAAACGGACACAGATCCTGCCATACAGCGGTTCTCAACTGAAGGTAATCCACCCCCCAGGGGACACTGGCAATGCCTGGGGACCATTTTGGCTGTCACACCTGAGAGGGGACGGCTACTGGCATCTAGACTGTGGAGACCAGGGTGCTGCTAACCACCCTATAATGCACAGGACAACCGCCCACACCCTGCGTGTCCATCAGGCTGGGAAATCCGCCTGCGTCCCTCCCTCTTGGCGTCCGCTGGGGAGTTCTTGCAGTTTTAGATGAGCACATGAGCCCAGATGACCCCATCAGACTGCAGAGACAGAAACAGCCAGCAGCCTGATGGCCCTGACAGCCACACGGTGACCCCAAAGAGGCCGTGTTGCTTTTTAGCTGCCATGACAGACCGCACAAACTTGGTGCCTTCAACAACATAAGTCTATCCTCTCACAGTTCCAGAGGACAGAAACCCAAGTCAGGGTGTCGGCAGGCCACCCGCTCTGGGGAGAATCTGCTCTTCCCTCTGCGGCTGCTGGGGCCCAGGGACCCTCGTCATCAACGCCTTCCTGCTCTGCTCCGGGTCTTCTCCTCTTCCGTCGTTTTTCAGGACACGTGCTATTGGACAGACAGCCCAGGTAACCCAGGATGACCTCACCTCAAGGTCCTTGATGACATCGGCAGAGCCTTTCACACATCAGGTCACTTTCCCAGGTGCCAGCGGTTCCGACTTCACCACCCTTTAAGAGCCACCGTTCAACCTAAGACAGAGGCAGCCTTGGACTGAGGTCAGCCTGGCAATGGTCAGACAGGAAGACTCGGGTCACAGAACCGAGGCCTGACCCACCTCTGGATGCTGAAGCTGGTCTACACCCGTGGCTGGGCTTAAGAGGGGCTGGGCAAAGGGCTGGACCGGCTCACCAGGTCCCAGGCACTCACTGCTAGTTGCTGGGTCCGGGGGGCCCACGAAGACCTGAGGAGGGGTCCCAGGAAGGGGACCTGGGGGCCCAGGACAGGGGATCTCAGCCAGTGCACTTAACAGCACTTGGACATCTCACGACTGGCAGAGCTGCCGAAGAGCTTGCCAGCTGACACCAGTCACCTACACCCGGGTGTCCCTAGGTAGCCAGTGCCCAGCTCCGCCCAGTGCCAGCTGTCTGTGGTGGACTTGGCTCCCTTTCTGTGCTGCGCCCACCACCAGAGTATCTTCTCCGCTGATTCCTCATCTGCTGCTGTTCACGGGTCTGCTCTCAGCTGTTTTGGGGTCCCCCCAGGTAGATTTCCCATCTTTCATCTCCCTCCAGGCTGCAGCTGGGTCTGTGAGACCCTCAGAGCTATCACTATGCCAATGAGTCGATGCCTGTGGCACCTGGGGGAGGAGGCGGGTCACGAGGACTCGCAGCTAGAATCAGCCACAGTGAGACAAACCCCGTGTGACCAGCAGCTTGGTAGCCCAGGCTGCACCATAACTTGGACACATGACCCCCGAGACAGAGGGCTTTGGGATGACCTGAATTCCATCGCCCCTCTTACCAGGACACCAGGAGTAGAAATAATAAGTGGCAGAAACCTGTGCATTTCAGTTGTTAGACGGCAAACACCGGTGGCGTCGAGTCTGCCTAACTTAAACAGAACAGGAATTGGAAAATCTGAAGAGCCGGGGCAGCGTAGCAGGGGTGTCCACGTCCTCCTCTCTAGAACCCATGAAGGTTGCTCTGCACGGCCAGTGGGGGGCCAGTGGGGGACCAAATACAGATACAGGGAGGTTTTTGGACAGCTGACAGGGAGATGGGCCCGGATTCTCCAGGTGGACTAGAAGTGACCGCAAGGTCCTCATGTGGGGAGGACGGAGGCAGAGTCAGAACAGAGACGGCTTCCGAGGACTCGGTCACCACGGCGGCTTTGAAGGCAAGGAAGGGGCAGCAGGCCAAGGGTACATGATGCAGACAGCCCCCACGGCTTCCCAGAGCCCCCTCCCCGGGAGCCCCTGCAGGGGGCTTTTCTGCAGGAGTCGCCTCACGACCACGGAGCCCGAGGGGCCCCACCACCTGCCTGTGGTGTTGGGGTGGCCGCCCACGCACCCCGCTCCTGGCTGTGCCCAGGAACAGCCTGCTCCTCTCCGCTGGACCTGCACCTCACTCTGATGGAGCACAGCCAGGGCACCAGGTGGCTGTGGGCCGGCCTCGGTCTCTCCTCGTCCGCTGTCCCTGGCAGCCGTCGGGCGCGGCCCTCAGTTGTGGATTCTCCGTAGAGCAGCTCAGCCCACGGCTCCCTCAGAGCTGCCGCCAGAGGGTAAGGGTGCCTGCCGCGTCGGCCCCTGACCTGCTCTCCCAGTCCATCATCCAGCCCCAGACACGAGCCCTGGTCCCACCCACACTCCAGGGGAGAGGACCACCCAGGGCAAGAACAGGGAGGGGCCACCAGGGTCAGCTCATCTCAGCACACCCCCTGCCACCTGGTACGACGCGGCCCAGAAAGAACATGAACCACACCCATGACGCCGTGACCAGTGGCTGGTCGCACTGCCCCTCTCACTGCTGACCCTGGGATCCACCACGGAGCCACACCCCACCCTGTTCTGTGGGGTAGGGCACTAAGTGGCACCGCTGCTTCCGCGATTCTCTAAGATGCGTACCTTGATTCTGAGCTTGCGGAGCCGCGCGACGTCTGAGCCCCCACGAGCACCTTGCTGGCCTCACCCAAATCCCCACCCCATTTCTTTTTTTCCCCTATTATTTTTTAGCTGTAGATGGACTCCACACCTTCATTTTGTTTGTCCGTTTATGTTTATGTGGTGCTCAGGACGGAACCCACGCCTCACACGTGCTGGGCGGGCGCTCTGCCACTGCGTCCCAGCCTCAGCCCCTCCCGCCCCATTTCTGACACGTCTCACAAGAACCCCAGGCTTCAGCGAGGGCAGAGGGTCTGTCCCTGAAAGGAGTAAGGACACAGCCGTCGTCCTGCGCTCACTGGCACCTCCCCACAGAGGACTGAATCAGCGAGGCGGGCCCTGGAGCAGGGTGGCGGGCCCAGGTCTGGCACACCCTGGTGGAGGGGTCTGGCACGCCCACCTGGCCCTTCCCTCAGCCAGGCGACATGAGGTGAGTGCCCAGGCCCAGAGCACACAGGGCACAGTGCCTCTCCACAGCACCACTCCTCCCTGCTGTTTGATTCCCAAAGAGAGGCAGGCTTCTGATGGCCCAGCTCACACACTGTCAGCAGGGCTCGTGGTTCCTGCAAGCCCCCAGCAGGCTCAACCCACTGTGAGCTGCTGATGGACATGGGGCCGGTACTGGAGGATGGCGAGGGTGTGGCAGCCTGTGCCCTTGGTCTTGAGGCTGAGTCCAATTTGCCCCCTGGAGGATGGCGAGGGTATGGCAGCCTCCACCCTCGTTCTTGAGGCTCACATGGTGCCAACACTGTCCCCCAGAGAATGATAGAGGCAAGGCTGGCAGCATCCTGGATCCTGAAGCTCCATCCTGGAGACCCAAGTGGCTTTCAAACCTGCTCCAGAGGTGACCTGGACAGGGACTGTCCCCTCACAGGGGACCCACGAGACAAGTCCAAGCCCACCAAGCGGGCACTTTCAGCCCAAAGCCTCTGGGCTAGTTCCTCATCCTCAGCCTCGGGAGCTGGTGCCTTCTCTTTGAATCCATCAAAGTACTTCCCGGAAACGTCCTCCAGTTCCTCGGCCACGGCCAGGTAGGTGCTGGGCTGCGCTGCCAGCTGGGGGCTCTTGACCAGCAGCCAGAAGATGGGCCCTGCACCAGCCACAGCACTCAGGGCACACCCTGGACCCCAGCGCCCCGCCCCGCCCTCGGGTCCCACAGCGCCCACCTCCAGGCTCTGCCCTGTGCTTCTGTCCACCCGGGAAGCCCCCTGCCTTTCCCCAGAAAACGAGCCTCACTTCTCTCCCTCAGCCCGTCCTCACCCTCCCACCCTTCCTTAAAGAACCTCCTCTCACTGAACGCATCTGGGGCCGTCCCAGCTTCGGCTCCTGAGGCCGAGCCCACCCCAGTCGCTCCCAGGGTCTCAGACCCCAGGCACGGAGCTCTGTTCAGCTCCACTCTGGGCCAGGCGCTGCACATGGCCTTTCCCCGTGGGACCATCTAACCCTCCAAGGACTGAGGGGGCCTCGCTGAGGAGGTGAGGACACGGAGGCTCAAAGGGGAGGCGTGTCCCCACACGGCTCGGCCAGGCTGGGGGAAGCTGGCCTGGCCCTGAGCACAGCCTGACTCCAGGCCGCTCGGCCGCTTCCCCTCAAGACGTGGCTTTCCCGTGGGTCAGTGGACCCCGGCTGCTTCCTGGGGCTGTCCTGAGGCTGGCAGGCCAGGTCAACAGCAGAGGGGCTCATTCTGCATACCACAAAGACGGGGGTCGGGAAGTAACGCCAGGCACCGCCTGAGGGAGGGTCCTGGGCCAGGCCGAGAGGGCAGGGCCAGAGGGTTCTGCAGAGACCCGGACCAGGAGGGACTCACCGAGTGTGAAGCTGGAGAAGGTGGACCTGTGCATGCCCGTGTGTCTGCCCAGCTCCGTCCTGGCCACACCAGGGTGCAGCGCGTTGACGGTCACACCCGTGCCTGGAGAAGAGAAGGACGGGCAGGGGCAGGCTGGCAGCTCGCTCCCCAGCTGGCAGGCTGCCACAGCCCGGGCCAAACCTGGGGTCCCCGTCCTGCGCTCTTCCTGCCCGGAACCCATGTCACCTCCGCCTCAGCCTCAAGGGTTCCATCTTACAAGGCAGCTTTGTCACATGGCTGCAGGGCAGAGCTCCCCTGGAGCGTGACAACCCACAGCACTGACCCACTGGCCCCACCAGAGTCTGAGCAGGGGCGTGGGGTGGGGTCTGGTGCCAGCACTGTGGCCAGCCCCGGGGAGGCTGGCGCTGCGGCCCCGACGCCGCCCGCGAGAAGCAGAGGCCCAGGGCGGCTTTCTAGCCAGCTCCTTGGACACGTGGGGCTGCAGGGAGCCACCCAGCGCACAGTAGGGTGCCGAGCAGCATTCCCAGTGTCACCCACAGGTGCCAGCAGCAGCCCTCCACCCAGGTGTGACAATCATGTCTGCAGACATTGTCACATGACCCTGCAGCTGAGAACTATTGCCTCAGAGTCCCGGAGGCTCAAGTGCCTGTCCAGGATCAACAGGGAGGAAGGCCTGAGGGCGGAGGCCAAGCGGGTCTGCAGGGCACTCAGAGCAGCGGGGGACTGGTCAGTCTGCAGAGGCACCGGCACGGAGCGCGGTGGGAGTGCACATGGGGGTGCCGGCTCCACTCCTGTCTGGAGCGGCTCAGGTGCAGAGCGCCAGGCTCAGGGGCAGAGCGGGAGGCCCATGAGGCAAGGCCCGCGAGGGGAGGCCTGTGGCTGTTGCATACCTCGCAGCCGCCGGCTCAGCTCCTTGGTGAAGAGGACCAGGGCCAGCTTGCTCTGGCAGTAGGCGGCCTTGGTGTCGTACTTCCTCCTCTGCCAGTTCAGGTCCTCGAGGTCCACGTGCCCGGCGACGTGGGCCAGGGACGAGAGGTTAACCACACGCCCAGGGGCCGAGGCTTTCAGCTTGTCCAGCAGCAGGTTCGTCAAGAGGAAGTGACCTGAGGAAGGACAGCGGAAACGTGTGACTGCTGTTTGTCAGCACCTCGTCCATTTCAATGGCGCTACCAGCAGCACCTCGTGAGTCCCTTCCTCCCCACTGCGACTGCGCCTCATCACTGACCTGCAGTCCTGGAGCACCGTGGGGCCCACCCCTCTCCTCCTAAGCTGCAGTCCTGGGGCACAGAGGGGGCCACCCCACTCCTCCTAACCTGCAGCCCTGGGGCACCGTGGGGGCCACCCCACTCCTCCTAAGCTGCAGTCCTGGGGCACAGAGGGGGCCACCCCACTCCTCCTAACCTGCAGCCCTGGGGCACCATGGGGCCCACCCCACTCCTCCTAAGCTGCAGGCCTGTGCAGGGTCCAGCTGCCCCCCAACAGCCACCTCCCCTCCCCCTAAAAACAGAAGCATTTCATCAAGAGTGACATGGACAGACTCACAGAATAGTGGAAAGTTGATAGAAATGAAGGACAGACAGGCAGATGGAAATATGGTTCTCTGGACAGAGGGCGCAAGGCCAGGGGCGGGGAGCGGAGAAGGACAGGCCAGCACCTGAGCATTAACAGGCAGGTCCTGGAGCTGCCGAGGACACCCAGCGGGCCACCTGGCTGCCCCAGACTGCAGCAGGACCCTCAGCACAGGCAACTCCCACTGTCACCCGGGCAAAACCGCCACAGTGCAGCGCTCCGCCCCGAGCTCACCCAGGTAGTTGACGCCAAGCTGCATCTCGAAGCCGTCCTCAGTGGTCCAGTGCGGGCACCGCATCACGGCAGCGTTGTTGATCAGAATGTCCACCCGCTCCTCCTCTGGAAGACAGGGGTCAGGACACACATGAGGGCGAGGGCTGACTCCACCCCTCCCCGGGGCTAGCCATGTCCCCATGCACTCCTGTCCACCTCCAGCCTCTTGGAAATGAGGTCCCCACAGAGGTGTCCACTCCCATGCGGACGAGGTCATCAGGGTGGGCCCTGATCAAACAAGACTGGGGTCCTCCTAAGGGAAACAGGTTCAGGCTGAGACGGGGTGGCCTTGGGTGAGAGAGGGGGACTCCTGATCAGCAGCTCCAGAGCTGCAGAGGCAGGAGCTCGGCCCAGCGTCCAGAGGGAGGGCGGCCCTGGGGACACCGGGCTCAGGCCCCTGCACCCCAGTGAGGGCTCCTCTCGGGCGTTCCAGCCCGGGCTGTGGCTCTGTGTGGCACGGCACCAGGTCGCTCATGCACACAGGCCCGTCTAAACTCGCAAGTCTTCCCTGCAGGGACCTCGGGGTCACTCGCGGGCCCTGGGACAGGGGGTGGCAGTCTCATGCCCGAGCACCTGGCTCAGACAGACTGGAGCCTCGGTTTCCTGTCCTTAGCGGGTGAAGAGCAGGGCTCCCCACACATGTTCATCTGCCCCGGCTGCCGCAGCCAAGTGCCACAGGCCGGGCCAAGAGCAGAAATCTGCGGTCTCGGTTCCAGAGGCTGGAGACCCGGGGGCCAGACACCACCGCCTGGCGCTGCTGAGGCTGGGGGAGAGCCGCCTCCATCCTCCCCTCGGCTTGCAGGGACGTCTTCTCCTGGTCCCCAGGCGGCCTCCCTCTGTGCCCGAGTTTCCCTCATGAGGACAGACACCAGCTACAGGTAGGACACCTAATGACCTCACTGTAACAGGGTGACCTCTTAAAGACCTGTCCCCAGGTGGTCACATGCTGGGGTCCAGACAGACAGCAATCAGACCTGGCTCCCCATCAGCTGTGTGACCCTGGGCAAGTCACATAGCTTCTCTGTGACTCAGTTTCCACCTTTTTAAAAAGGATAATAGTACCTGCCTGGTAGAGACGTGTAATTGTCACTCACGCGACAGGCACGTTCTGAGCCTACCAGTGGGGCCTGGAAATTCAGGGTGAACAAGACAGTCAAGTCCCCGCCTTCCCAGGATGGACGTCCCAATGCAGCGAGGAGCCAAACCCAGAACAGAGACTGCTCCGCGGAGGGAGCTTGGCAGAAGTGACGGGTTGAGGAGAGAACACGCTGCTGAGGAGGCCCAGAGCCGACCGGAGCTGAGGCTGGGGCCAGACGGGGCCTGCGCGGATCCGGAGGGGGCACGGGCAGGGCCCGAGGGCTAGGGCTGGACGGGGGCTCCTCCGGCCTCCCCTGTACCTGGGAGTGCCTCGCTGTGCCTCGTTCTTGTTGCCCTAAGACACACAGATGTGCCACCCGCTCAGTTCGAAGCCTCTTGTCCCTGATGGGTGATCTGAGGGGACGCTAAGAGGCCGACACTTGACCTCTCAAGGCCACAGACACAATGTCACGGTCCTCAAAGATCCCACAGAACAAAGGACGTTTTAATCAGCTCCCAAAAGAGGGACGAGAGGCTCAGGGGAAGCTCAGTCCTGGGCGTGGCCAGCCCGGGCTCTGCGGCCCCTAGGCCTGCGCTGGGAACCAGTGTCCACAGCTGGAAGTAGGAAGAGGAGCTTCCTGGAGGAATCCGCTGGGGCCACGTGCATGAAGGGTGCAAAGAAGGTGTTTAATAAACGTCCATTCCCACTGCGCCCGCACTACCCCGTGTCACCTCACCCCCACGGGGCAGCGGCACTGCCTGCCTCCCCACTGCTCTGTGAGCTCCTGGCATGCTCTGACTCATCTCCATGCTGACCAGGACCCAACCTGGGCCCAGAAAACGTCCGTGAAGTGAATGAGACTCCGTCCTCTCTGTTCATCCACTAAAGGGCGGCTTCCTGTTGGCTGGGGAGGGCTGGCGTCTGCCAAGCCCATCCAGAGCCAGTCCAGAGAGGAGACAAACAGAGGCTCAGTGCAGCTCGCAGGGGGAGGACAGGTACAGCCCCCACGGCCTTATATCCAGAGGAAAATGGACGACAAGCTGAAGGACCAAAGCAGGACCTGCCAAGTCCCGGCCCGAGGCCCCAGCACTCCTGCTGACGAGGCCCGCTGGGCTCCCAGGCCACGGTATAAGGCTGAGGATGGGACTCAGGGTGGAAGGCTGGCCCAACGGGAGGCCCTGGTTCCATCCCCAGAACCAGAGAGAGAGTAGGTCTGAAATGCTCTCCCTACCCCACCACCACAAAACGGTGAAGTGGGACGTGGCTCCTGGTAATGACTCGGTTCAGCCAAACACACGCACACCCACTTCAAGACAAGTCAGGTTGCACTCTGCCATCTCAGCAGCTCAGGAAGCCAGGCAGGAGGACCGCAAGTTCAAAGCCAGCCTCAGCACTTAGCTGGGTCCTAGGTAACTTTGCGAGACCCTGTCTCAAAATAAAATATGATAAAGGCTGGGGTGTGGCTCAGTGGTCAGGTGCCCCTGGGTTCCGCCCCCGTACAGAAACAGAAAACGCCACATGGACGGAAACTGTCCCCTATTGTGAGCTCACGCACACAAACAGTTAAGTTTTGCTCTGCTTAGCAAAACAAGGAGTTCTATGAGAAAGTATGAACTCTTTGAACTGTGTCCTTGTTGCTGCCTTAAGAAGATAAGAGAATGTTCTGCCAAGTGTAAAATTTATATATACATGTGTTTGCCTGGGAAGAACTAACCACAAGTTAATTGATAAGAAATATGGAGCACTGTGACCATAAACAAAGTTTTCCACATGGTAATGGAAGGAGACCCTCATTGTTATACAAAATTACTTATAAGAGAAAGTGAGGGGAAAGGAAAAAAAAACAAGGGAAAGAAATGAATTACAGTAGATGGGGTAGAGAGAGAAGATGGGAGGGGAGGGGAAGGGGGATAGTAGAGGATAGGAAAGGCAGCAGAATACAACAGACACTAGTATGGCAGTATGTAAAAACATGGATGTGTAACTGATGTGATTCTGCAATCTGTATACGGGGTAAAAATGGGAGTTCATAATCCGCTTGAATCAGATATATGAAATATGTCAAGAGTTTTGTAATGTTTTGAACAATAATAAAAAAAAAGTTTTCCTGAGAATGTTTATCCATGCTTGTAAGGATTAAGCTGCTGAAAGGATGTTTTTTCTTCCCCCTTCTTTTAATTAACATTGCTGTATAAAAGAAGGAGAGAAAAAGTAAGGACGGTGCTCATTTCTGCTGGATGTGTGTGTGTGTGTGTGTGTGTCTTTAAGCATCTCTGCTGTACCAGGAATTACAGATTGTCAGCGGGTCTGACACCCTATCAGGCTGCTGTGGCTGTGGAGCAGCTGTGTCCGCGGTCTTCTTCCTACTCCTCGGTATCTGACAGACTCTATGGTGAGCGCATTTCTTACACCACAAGGAAACAACCCGACCATAATGCGGACCTTCACTCCTCTTGGCCAGGCCGCTCCCGCAGAACCAAGGGGAGGGAAGGGGGCAGCTTCGCCCCAGCACCTCGGAGCGCACGGAGCGCACGGAGCACACGGAGCACAAGCTGCGTGCACGGCCCGTGACAGGTTCCCAACAGTTCTCATGTCAGAAGCTATCACTCTTCACGAGTTTTTCCCCAATCTTTTGAAATGAACAATATGTAAATATGAGAGTGTAAACTACGACTTCAACACCCACTGCGGGCTGGGCCGCCACAGGAGGTGCCTTTGCCCGCGGCCAGGGGGCTGGCTTTGTCCGCGGCCGCGTGGGCAACCTGCTCCAGGACTTGCCCAGCTCCAGCTCCTCAGAGCTGGGCCTGACTGGCCACCCAGACCTTGGCCCGCGAGGCCAGCGTCCCCGGCCTACCTTCAATGACCTTCGCAGCAAACTCCCGGACGGACTTGAGGGAAGCCAGGTCCAGGTGCCGGGCGCTGACGCGGTGATTGAGGGTCTCCCCGCGGATGTCCCTGGCCGCAGCCTCGCACTTCTCCATGTCTCGGCAGGCCAGGATGACGTGGCCTCCTGAAGCCCAGGTGGACACGAGGAAATAGAGCAAACAGAGCACTCCCAGGGCTCCCAGAAACAGAGGCTACATCCCCCTCCCCCAGTATTCACAGCAGCATGCTCCCGATGGCCAAAAGTGGACCTGGGTGTCCGCCACAGGCCAACGGATGAACAAACTGTGGTCCAGCCTGTGGCGGGGGTTACTCAGCCCAAAAAGAGAAGGACGCACTGCCTCGAGAGCAGGGGACCCTGGAGTCACCACATCGGTCGCTGCCACTGACCAGAGCCCCCGGAACAGGCAAGGCCACAGACCAAAGGAGGACTTCGGCTTCCTAGGGCTGGTGGCTTGGGCATCAGCCAGGATGGGTGAAGCGACCAAGGTATCTAAACTTCAGGGTGACCAGAGTGTCTTAAGACAGGTAGTGACGACTCTGAATGTCCTCAACATCACTGCATTGCACGTTGAAGGGGTGGACTGTGGTGTGACGTGCAGGTGGCCCTTACTCGCCATGGGTCTCCCCCCACACACCCACTGCAGGTTGAAAATGGGAGAAGCTGAGAATGCACCTCGCTTGCCTATCAAAAAGGTACACTCCTGTGATCCCAGGGACTCAAGAGGCTGAAGCAAGAAGATCAAAAGTTTAAGACCAGCCGCAGCCACTTAGCGAGGCCTAAGCAACTTAGAAAAGACCATAAGTCAAAATAAAAAATAGAAAGGGCTGGGGATATGGCTCAGTGGTTAAGCTCCTCTGGGTTCAATCCTTAGCACAAAAAAAAAAAAAAAAAGAAGAAGAATGCACCAGGCCACTGCTCAGCCTGCCCCCAACATGCCTGCTAAGTTGCTGAGGCTGGCCTAGAACTTGTGATCCCCCTGCCTCAGCCTCCCAGTGGGATGACAGGCATGCGCCACCACACCCAGCACAATCTCCTTCCTTTTGAGGCTGGATCACAGCCCACTTATGGCTGGACCACATCTTATTGATGGTCAGCTGTGGGTGGACACAGCTGCCTTTGGGCTGCCGTGAACACTGGTTGTGAGAATCTCTGTGAAACAGGAAAGTAGGCAGGCCTCTACCTCTTCTGGCCAGTTCCAAGGCAGTTTGTTTCCCGATGCCTGTGTTGGCTCCCGTCACGATGACTGTCTTCCCGGGTATGGTGGCCTTGCTGGGACAAGTCCCACCAGCAACATAGTCCCTGAAGGCAAGGAAAAGAAACAGTCTGGTCAGTTCTGGCTGTCCACTCTGACCCCATGTGCCCCTGACTGTGGTACCAGATAGTCCACCCTGAGCTCACACCAACCGAAAGACAAAAACCACACTAACGCTGCGGTGTCCCAGCAAGGGGTCCACCTGGAGCCTGGGCCCAGGAGGCCTCCACAAGGCGAGCTGTTATGTTATGAATACGCACTACCCGAGTGTCCTGTGCCTACCCTAACAAGTGCCCACACACCTAGGGGTGAAAACCCCACAGAGTGCTGTCCTGCGGTTCTGCAGGTCACAAGTCTCACTGGGCTGCCATCTAGGGGAGGTGACACCGTCTCCCACGCAACCCAGGATGACTCCAATCTCAAGGCCCTTCACTAGACCCACTTGCACAGTCCTCTTTGGCAGGTCAGGCCATCTCAAAGGAGCCTTGTTCCGCCTGCCACCCCCCACAGTGCACAGGAGCAAGCCACCATGCGCAGGAGGGGGCTGGCCAGACAACCCTCGTCCACACTGGGAAGGCCATCCTACAGTTTGCTACCAGCCACCTGAGGCTGAGTTTTGTGTAAGTTAATTAAGTCCCTGGCCCAGGCTCTCCCTCCCCCGCCAGCACACAGGGCAGCCACAGGCAATGTGTAAAGACGCGGCGCTGCCACTGGTTCTAATCGGACCTACTCACCAGGAGGGGCAGTGGCCGGGTGTGGCCAGGAGTCACAGCCTGCAGACCCAGCCCTGCGCCTCAGACACCTCAACTGGGCTTTGTAAAGACCCGAGTGAAGCCACAGCACAGCTTTCCAAAGGGCCCGGACCACGGAGCGTGCTCAGGGAAACACTGCCCCCACCCAGGGACTCGTGCTGAGATGGAGGGGGACTCAGAGCCACGCACACAGATTCTCTGATCAGGTACCTCTGGCAACCCCAGGAGGTGGGAAAGGCAAAGCCCTCACAGTCAGAAAGGGTCAGGACTCAAAGCCAGGTCAGTCTGGTGACAGGGTCGATGATCCCAAACCAGCCCATGTGCTACCGGGGCCACCGCAGGCCAACCAACCACAGCCCATCATGATTACCTGACCATGCCACACCAGGTCCACACTACCAACCTAAACTTTTATTTATCTTTTTCTTTTTTTTTTTAGTTGTCAATGAATCTTTTGTTTCATTTATTTTATGTGGTGCTGAGGATCGAACCCAGGGCCTCACACATACCAGGCAAGTGCTCTACCACTGAGCCACAACCCAGCCCTTATTTATCTTTTTAATGTAGTAAATTCTTGCTTGGGAGGCTGAAGCAGGAGGATCACAAGTGCAAAGCCAGCCTCAGCAACTCAGCAAGAACCTATCGCTAAATAAAATGCAAAAAGGGCTGGGATATGGCTCAGTGGTTAAGTGCCCCTGGGTTTATTCCCTGGTCCAAAAAATAAAAAATAAACACACACACACACACACACACACACAGAGTAAATTCTTGTTTTATGCGGATATACTTTATTTGACAAATAAAGCCTATATGTATTTATCATGTTGAGCATATTTTGAAACGTGCACACTACAGAATGGCTAAATTAAGCCTGTGCCCATATACATCACCTCATGTACTTATTTTTGTGGTGAGTAAACATAAAATCTATTCTCAGCGATGTTTAAAAATACATACATTGTTATTAACCACACCCACCATGCTGTACAACAGATCTACTTGTTTGCTTTTGGGTAAGAAATATACTTCTGTGGTTCAAATTTTTTAATTTCTGAAGTCTTCCTCCCGCCGGCCCCAGTTAACCCGACCGGCACTGCAGTAGGCTGTCTGTTCCTTCCCTTGTTTCTTCTCACCTTTACTTTTATTTTTCTGGCTTTGGTTCTGTGTAAAGTACACAGCACACCCACAATTTGCCTTCATGACCACTTCTCTAGGGGATAGTTCTGTGGCACCAAATATGATCATAAAACGATGCCACTCATGTCCGGAACAATTTTCATTGTGAAACTGAAACTCTGCCCCCTTTAAACAGCAACTCCCCGATCGACACCCTCCAGCCCCACCTTATGAATGCGACTCCACTAGGGACCTCATCTGTTACCCTTCATCACACTGTCAACACCAGCCCACCTCCAGCAAGCCCAGTGTCGCCACCTCCCCACGGTCAGCCTCACCAAGCCACCTTCGGAGCACCCTTGCCACTCATCCTCACAGAGCTCCCGTCCCTCCACCCTGTCCTGCACATCCTGGCCAGACAGACCTCACCAGAGCACGGTTCAGAACGCGTCACTCATCTGTTCAGAACTCTGCGAAAGCTGCAGCCCCTGTCAAGCACAAAGCCCTGCACAGTTCACCTCTGTCCCTCTGGACACCTGCACCCTGGGCAGGGTGAACATGGAGGAAGCCTGGGAAATAGCTGAGCTTACGAATAGGGGCTATCTTCACAGGAACTAAAGAAACACAAATTAATAGAAAATACCACTCTTTTCCCTTTGATTTCATTGAGTTGTTTTTTTTTGGGTTTTGGTTTGGTTTGGTTTGGTTTGTGTGTGTGTGTGTGTGTGTGTGTGTGTGTGTGTGTGTGTGTGTGTGTGTGTGTCTCTTGCTGAATTGCCCGGGCAGCCCTGGAACTTGAAATCCTCCTGCCTCAGCCCCCTTAACAGCTGTGATTACAGGCTTGTGCCATCATACCCAGCACAATTTACTATTATTTTTTAACAATAATACCCAGAGTTTACTCAACTACTCACAGGAGAGTCTGCTAAACCTTCCAGGATGGTGACTTAGTCTTAGGTGTCAAATCCATAAATGTGTGCATTCCCTCCCACCCTCTTCTAGACATCTATCCTAAAGTGCTGGTATGTATCCAGGAGTGCCACTCTTCCACATTTTTCTACCTGCAGACAGCAAGCAGTCAGTAAACAGGGATGGGTGACAATGTAGCCTGAGGATCAAACCCTACAGCTTCCAAATGACAGTCTGAAAAAACAAAACAGGGTTCCAAGCACAAGGTGTTGGGAAGAGTGGGGTTCCTGAGTCAGGAAGCTTCCCACTCCCCGACTCCCCCTAGTTAACAAGGAATGGCGCGGTCCCTGTGGTGTGTCACTACTCTGCAGTCAGTATTGTCCCGATTCTCGCAGGAAAAGGAGAAAGAGGGAGGAAGGGAGAGACAAAGGCAATAAACGCCTACGAAACTTCCTTTTAACCGGATCTTTCCGTTTATGAGCTGTACAATTCTGTTTGTTTCTTTAATTCTTTGGTCTAGACCAGCAGGTGACAGGGGAAATGACTGAACTCCCCAATCACAAATACGGAAGGAAAGAGCCCAAGTGCGCACCAGGACCCGGCCCGCCCTTGCTCTGGGTGACCTTGGACCGACGACTCGCGCTCGCGGCCCTGGTTTACGGTTCACTTTCTGGAAGGCCCTGCCCAGGGGGAGCGGGGACTCCGGGGCCGAGAGGTCGGGGCCCCTTCCTGGGCCTTCCCTGGCCTCCAGCGGCCCACGGGCCTGCGACGCGCGCACGCGAGCGGCACATACTCACTTGAGCAGCACGGCGCCACCCACCGCGGTGCCCAGCACCGACGCCGGCAGCAGGTAGCGGCTCATGCCCGGCGAGGAGCGGGCTCCGCCGAGGCGGCCCGAGAACCAGCACGCAGCGCAGCTACCCACGTGCGGCCGTGCAGCCCCGCCGGCCGCGGCCCCGGAACTGGGCAGGGGGCGTGGCGCGGTCCGGGGCGTGGCCTCCAGGGCGCGACCTATGAGGACGGGCCCCCAGCGCTCCGACCGCTGGGAATGGTGGTTCAGGAGCGGGGGCGGGGCTGAGGGCGGGGCTAGACGCCGGATCCAATGACGTCACGCTCAAGCCACAAAAAGGCGCCGCTACAGTTGCCAGACTGTGACTGACTGTGGGTATCCGTCCGTTTCCTCGTCTAAAATTAGTGTGTTAAATGAATAAAATAAAGCTCCATCGACATCTAAAAAATATTTAAAAATTAAAGAATTAAAAATTTCTTTAAAAAATAAAATTAGTATGTTATACCTAATTAGGATAAATGAATGAAATTAGATTGTGCTCAAAATAGATAGATAAAAATGTGTGCGCACACAGTGGAGTCTCTCAGCCATACAGCAGAAGGAAATTATGTCTCTGCTGGTAAATGGCCAGATCTGGAGAACATCATGCTAGTGGAATAAGCCAGACCCAGGAAGTCAACGGTTGCAGGCTTACCCTTACATGGGAAAGCCAGAGAGAAAGAATAAATTCTAAAAGGAGAAGTGGGACCTGAAAAAAGAAATTAAAGAACAATGGAGTAGAGGGCAGGGAAAAAGGAAGAGGGAGGAGGGATGGAAAGGGGAACATCTTAATGGAATTAACCAAACTATATCTGGGAATAAGGAAAATGTCACAGTGAATTCCATTTTTATGTATGAGTATAATGCACCATGAGAAACATCAACTTTCAAAATAAAAGATAGCTGGGCAGAGTGGCAACTTAGCAAGGTCCTAAGCAACTTAGCAAGACCCTCAAAATAAAAAAGAAAAATATCTGGGATTTGGCTCAGTGGATAAGGTCCCCTGGGTTCAATCCTCAATACTAATAAATAAATATATTAAATTAAAGATAAAAATCAGGAGGTGTTGGCACATGCATGTGAGCCCAGAGGCTCAGGAGGCTGAGGCAAGAGGATCGGGAGTTCAAAGCCAGCCTCAGCAATTTAGCAAGACCCTAAGCAACTTAGCAAGACCCTGTTCTAAATAAAAAACAAAAAGGACAGCGGATGTGGCTCAGTGGTAGACCACCTCAGGGTTCAATCCCCAATACAAAAACAAAAACAAAGGGTAATACCCAGTGTAGGCAGGTGCGGAGCACTCCTGTGGGTGGGAGTGTCAATCAGCTTCCCCTCAGGCTGACCAGCCTTCTGAGCCAAGCCCATCCAGCACAAGTCTGACCCAGCCAGTCCCTGTAGGGATTTATGCTAAGGTGTGGTCAGTCATTCAGAAAGAAACAGACCTAGGAAAAGCTACCTCAGAGCCTTGCCTCTGCCTCATTGCAAGAAGCTAGAATCAAATAAAATCAGCAATGGACCAGCACTCAGTCACTACTTCCAACAATCGTTCAGATCATTCAGCGCCTACTGAGTGCAGTCACTAGGCTAGGCACAGCATTCAGCAGCAAGATAGACAGGTACCTGTCCTCATAGACCACCTGACACCAAAAGCAAAATGGCACTCATCTATATGTGTTTCTGGATGGACTACCCCCAGCTCATCCGGCTGTGCCCCTGAGTTCCTTCATTTACCCCCAGGGCAGGCTCTGAGCAAGCTGCAGGAGGCTGAGTTACAGGAGCACTGTATATTGTTGGTGCAACAAGAAAAGCCTCCACAGTGCTCTGTGCCGCTCTCTGCCAGGCAGAGTGGTGGGTGGTTCTATCTGATCATCTACATCTTTCCATTGTTCTTGAATGACAGTTTCTTGAGGTGTAGGTGAAACCAGCCCATGACAGGCAGTGAAGGGCGCGATGCAGGAGTCCAGGTGTCCCCTGATAAACAAATATGGTCTCTGCATGCGAAGGAATATTCCCAGCCTGATAAGGACATTCTGACACGTGCTATAACATGGTTCATCTTGGAGAAGTGTTGAGTGAGATAAGCCAGTCACTAAAAGGCAAATAAGACCAGGCTCAGTGGCCACTCCTGTAATCCCCATGATGTGGGAGGCTGAGGCAGGAGGATCACAAGTTCAAGGTCAGCTTCAGTAATTTAGTGAGACTCTGTCTCAAAATACAAAAACAAATAAAAAGAACTGGGATGTAGCTCAGTGATAGAGCTCCCCTGAGTTCCATTCTTCATACCTAGGAGGAGGAAGAAGAGCAGGAGAAGGAAGAGCAGGAGGAGGAAGAGGAGGAGGAGGAAGAGGAGGAGGAGGA